ACCAAGGAGGTTACCCTCAACAACCAGGCAGACCAGGAGGATACCCTTACCAAAGTGGGTACCCTAATCAAGGATTCTACCCAGGGTACCCAGGACATCAAGCTGGTGCTTACCCAGGACCGGGCTACCCATACTGGGGCAGTTATGGCAGTTACGGGGGTTATCCAGGCGGATACATAAACCACAACCCAAACAACAAAATCCTGAGTCCTCACTATGCCAGCAGCTTTGGGTATGGGGGTTATGGTGCTGGTGGCGGCTCTCCCTTCTCAAACTATGCAAAGGCACAGGGCTTTGTTCCCTCTGATAAATCCAAAGGTTTTGGTCGCAGAGCAGCATTGGCGGCAGCTGGAGGAGCTCTGACAGGAATGGCCCTGGGCTACGGGTTAGGAAGGTTCCCCCGTCCTCACTTTCACTTCCACAGCCCCCAGGAGGAGTATTACTACAACTACTACATGTACAGGAAGTATGGTATTAGATCTACTGATACAAATGACTTCAGCAGAGATTACGAATACATACAAGTTGACGTAACATTTGATAGTTTCATAAAGTCCTGCATGAATAGAGCAGATCTTGTCCCTGTAAAGAATCGAAAACCAAACCTCAAACCAGCTGTGACTACATCTAAACCCCCCACAGCTGCTACTGTGAACTCCACCATTGCATCAATTACTGCTGCTCTTGGCACTGCCAGCAGCGCCACAAGTAACAGCACCGCAACGAAAAACTCCTCAACCGATTCCCCTTCAACTCCTCACCCTCCGAATAAGTATGAAGACAATCCTGCACCTGCAGCTTCACAGCTCCTCCAAACTGATGATGACGACACAGTGAGCATTGTGGAGATTGGTTACCCAGCACTGATCACACAGGTTAAGCTCAAGAGGTGCATCGAACTTTACATCGTCAATGCTGAAAGAAACTTGAAGAAAAAGACCAAACTTGAAAGCAGAAGTGGAGCGCAAAGACTGCAGACAGACCTGCGAGGGCTTTTCTCTGTCATCACCAGCATTATAGTGATACTGCAAACACAGCTGCACTAAAGCCTTCTTTACACAGAGAAACTTGTGTGATGTGTCGCTCATTTGGTTTTTATATCTGACCAAATGAGTGTGCGATGAAACACTCACAACCCATATGCAACACTTTCACAGCCCACCAGGGGGCAACATAGCAGACCTTTATAATCACTGGTTTTTGTAGATATTTGCAGACACCAGAAGAATTGTAATCAAAGTCTAGATGTTTGGTTTTGAGAAAAATCTCAGTGAGTCTGGAGTAAATTATAATAAACAAATGTAAAAGTTTTCATCTTATGATTCATTTTGGGTCATACGTTGTGCATGAATGACATCAGCCTGAGCTGAACTAGCTGAGTAGAGTATGCTTTAACTAAGATTGTAAATAAGTTAAAGTTTGTAAGCATGTCAGCATGCTAGAAGCAGGATGAATCTGAAAACACTAGTGTGAGCTGCAGATGGACTCTCATTGTATTTACTGAAGAAACCTGATTGGTATCAGCCCTAAAGATGATCCATTCTGATCTATTACATATATGATGGAGTCAAATATGTTTAAAGTAAAAAAATTCCAAAGCCATGCAATGGCCAGATTGGAGTCTTTACTGGGCTAATTCTGGCCTTATGTTTGACACCCCTGCAATAAACAGTAACCTCATGTGATTGAAGTTGCACCCTTTTCCTCTCCTCTTCTGTTTGATTCAAATGAATCCACAGCCTTTATCATGAATTTTTACTTCAGGTCAGCTGGGATAAGTGATCGATGGAGAGAATTTTGACTGCAGTCACAGAAATGCAACACAGGAGGAAACAGGCTGCACTGGACCACAAGAGCAAAACATAAGAAAATAATTTGTATTTTATCTGACACGTTATAGGACAGATTTACTGAAGGAAATTATCCACAATTGCAGAATGAGCTACTAAAAATGCACTGTAATTTCTATACAAAGACACACTTCAGTAAAAGAAATGTGATATAATGGCTCAAAAATCCAATGCAAGCTCAGGTTTCCCACTAGTGCTTCTCTTTGAAAACAGCTTTCCAGTTACCATGTTACTGTGTCATGTGGATGTAGAGTGCACCGCTTCTTAGTTTGAATAGCACACTGCAACACTGAGGGATTAATCTAACACACTAAAGATTTTCTTTTTTACAGATTGAGCAGAGAGAAGTTGCTCTCTGTGTGCGCACTGCTGAGAAAAGGAAGTTCATTTCAGTTAATTTCTGCTCTGTTTCATGAAAACAGTGTTGCAGTGCTAAGTTTTAGCACCGCGATATCAGCTTTGAGTCATCCACGTAAAGTGCAGATTACGCACTCGTTTTGATAACATCTCCGCTCGTAAATCCAGGAGATTTTTAACGTCAGAAGATGCTTTCAGCTCCTACAGATGTTAGTCTGACCTCAAATGTTCCTTCTTCTTAAAAAAGCCAGCTTTCGTAATGAAGGGATATTTGGCGAATTGAGGGGAATTTAAAACTGCTGGCTAAGGGTAAACGTAAATTCATTAACATTATAATTCATGCCGGCAATAATGACACCCGATTATGTCAATCGGAGGTCACTAACCATATTGAATTCCCCTGCCCAATCAGACCAGGGGTGTCAAGTTTAGCCAGATGATATCTTTAAATTGCTGTCTGTCTGAGTGGTGTCCAAAAAACGACGTGGGCTTCATAGATAATTGGGAAACTTTCTGGAGGAAACCTGGTCTTGTTAGGAGAGATGGCATCCATCCCACTTTGAATGGAGCAGCTCTCATTTCTAGAAATCAGGCCAACGTATTAACCCCACAAAATGTGACCAGGAAGCAGAGTTGCAGTCTTACACGCCTCTCTGCAGCTTCTCTCCTCCTGTTATCCACCCAAACCCCATCCCCTGACTGTGTCAGCTCCCAAACAGACAAAAAAACAACAACTTTCTCTTTCTTCCAAGTCTCTGTTAGTACATGACTTAATAATTGATCAACAGATCGATTTAGTCTGCCTTACAGAAACCTGGTTGCAGCAGGATGATAATGTTAGCTTAAATAAAACAACAGTCCTGAGTCATTCTAACTATCAGAAACCTGAAGCACAGCTGAAGGGGCGGCGTGGCACCAATTACAGCCTATTACTCAAACAAAGACCAAGACCTCCCCCCCGAAAGGAGACACTCCCTGTTTTTGCCACACAAACATCCTCCAGTGACCAGCTGAGAGCTTTTTAACCGCGAGTGGTGAAAGCAAACACTTTACTCCATCATATCAGTACGCCTCTTTTTACAGTCTACATTACAAATAAACACAAGAGATGGTCAGGACAGAGATAAGCAAAGATAACTGTTCATATACAAAATAATTTACATATCAAACATTTCTTTAGGTCAAGTGGAAATTGGAAAGTGGAACTTTTTTATAAATCCCATAAAGACAGTTTTTTAATTAGAGTAAACAGAAAAGAAACTGAACAATGTTCTTCATGCTTTGTGGCCTGTTTAAACCCTGTTTCCTCTCTTGTCTGTTTCCAGTGTCTGCTCTGGTGAAAGGATGGCTGACGTTTCCGCACTGCCATTCCTGCGTTGTTGTAGACTTTCCTGAGTTCAAGTGCACCGCCACTCAAACCCGTTACTACAACCTGGCTTCCTGCTACCAAAGGAGTAAAGCCAGTTATCACTGCTCTATGAATGATTCAAGCATAAAAAGACATCGAGTGCATACTTTCACAAACAACAACGAACCAGTTTTAATGTTATATTTGGGCACTTTGTTCCTTTTTGACAGGTATAATAGAATAACTGCACTAACAAGCTGCTCCCAAAGAGCTATTAGCTGCAAAATAGCTTTTTCTTAAAAAAACATAAAATAAAAATAGGAAACTGGACAAGCAGAAGGGAGTTTTTCCGTCCCAAGTGCTTACCCTTGGGTCATCTGATTGTTGGGATTTTCTCTGCATTATTGTAGGGCCTCTACCATACAGTATTAAGGTCACTGTTGTTGTGATTTGGTGCTATATGAATAAAGTTGAATTGAAAATGGAATCATTTATTCTTTCAGTATGAACCAAATGTACGATATATGGTAAAACGTTCAGTAAAGCAGACACTTAAAAGTTGAACCATTAGTAAGTACACGCACTGAACTCTCGCTGCTGATTGGCTGTGGGCCCTTATTTGATTATTTTTCCATTTCCTTTTCCCCGGTGGATGCCGAGAATCGACTCCACCCCAGCCCTGCCCCCATCATCTGTTTCTAAGCGACCCACATCTCTCGTGCGGCCATATGTCAGACAGAAATGAAACAGTTGAAACCATAACCGGAGAGGTACGAGCGCCGCGGGGACATTATCGAAGACAAACAGGGAGGAAGGAACTCATCTGACTCACGGTCACCACACAGGTGAGGCTGTAGGTAAAGTAGAGCAATTAATGTTTCTACCTGTGATCTGTGCGCAGTTCACGTCACCTGGAGTAAACAGTCTTTATCTAACCGAGTATCAGGCAGTGGTTATTGCAGGGCGTATTCCAGTGAACTTTTCCCCTTTTAATATGAATTCCCTGCATTAATATACAGCTATAAATAAATTCTAACAACATGTAACATATGTTTTAATTGTTTCAAGGAACAAACCATCCACCAGGCAACTTGTTATTGCCTCCCATATCGCGGCAGCTCTTTAACAACAAGTTACAGGGAAAGGCATCACATACAGTTAAAAAACGTTTTTACAAGTATTTAAAGCAAAAATCATCGATTAGTATCACTAGTCGCTGTATTAGCCTGAGACAAATAAAATGCTTACCATACCGAGGAGGTTATGTATAAAATAAAGAAAATACCTTTATTGCAAGTCTTTAATATATAATTTATAATCAATCCACTCCTTTTTAGCCACTTAAAATATTTTTATATAGCTATTATGTTATATTTGTTACAAAGCCAGCTGGCCTCTTGAAGAACAGTGAGTGTTTGACATTCATAAATAAAGAACATATAAAGGTCGCTTTGCCAAAAACCAATTTAATCTTTTAACTCATGGTAGAAATGGCATAAAATAGCTTGAGATCATTCACGACAGATATGCTTGACGTACATTTCACAGATTGAAGGCAAACAAGTCATTTAAAACTATTTAAATACAATCGCAACACCAGAATAAATAAAACTTAATTAAATCAGGCTTAATTTTAATTGCTGTGTCACAGCAGCCGAACTGTTAAACACGACCTATAACAAGATCTGACAAGATAATTTAAACAACAGTTGTTGTTTTTTTTTTAAAGTACACAAAAGCAGGTATTTGTGTGTGAGGCGGGGAAGATTGTCGGTATCCAAAAATGCTCAGATAAATAGTTAAATAAACCCTCCTTCTCCAGTTTGTCCACAGCCCTTTTTTCCCTTCTTCTTTCTTACTTTCTACTTTTTTTTCCTTTTTTTTTTTTGCCTTCCCTGTGTGGTTTTGCAAAAACGATGGCTCATTCCATTATTTCAGATACTGATCAATTAGCATCATGCGTCCCAGGCTGATACACAGCGGAAATCCATTTTGGAGCGCCACTAAGGCGCCTGTCTAATGGAATTTTCTTTATTTTTCTTTATATATTTTCTAAAGCCACACCTTCTCAGACAAGGATTTGTGGTTTTTCCACGTCATGTCTGACAACAGACTGAATAGTATTCAATTTTGTAGTAACACATTACAAACAACTGGACAGACAGTTAAAATAATTTTTAGTAGTAATATATTTTATTGTCATTTAAAATGTGAACATGCTAATATAAACCCGTTAGCTCATATATAATTGTATATAACTCCTATGAGAGTTATTTCTTAATTTTCTTGTTTGTTTGTATATTTGTCACACTTTAATGTTTCAGATTAACAAACTAATTTTTATAGTAGACAAAGATTACCGGCATAAATATAAAGTATCATTTTTAAATGATGATTTCATTTAAAAAGCTTATCAAACCCCCTTGTTTAATCATGATTCGACTTTGGTCAATCAAATTTTTTGGAAGCTGAGTTCAATTTCATTAGCCACACCCAGGCCTGATTACTGCCCACCTGCTGAATCCAGAAATAACTTACAATACAATACGACTTTATTTGTATTGCACATTTAAAACCAGAGGTACACCAAAGTGCTTCACAAAATCCACTAAAAGCAGTAGCAAAATACAAATGCAAATAGCAGGTGGAAAGCATTGATTAACCAAGCATAAAAGATAAGCAGATATCGAAATAAAACTTCAAAAGCAAAATCAATACAAAACCTTGTTCAACAAAACAGAAGAAAAGGGTACTTACAAGAATCGTACTCTAGATAGCCAGGAAGGCTAAACCAAATAGATACGTTTTCAATCGAGATTCTGGATCGAGTCAGATGCACGAATAGCTTGTGGGAGATTGTTCCAGAGGTTAGGTGCAAGCGGAGCGAAAGCATGGTCACCTCTGCTCTTTCCAGTGACCTAGGTTGCACCAAGAGCAATTGTCCTGATCATCTCAGTGCTCTCCTAGGAATATACAGGCTGAGAAGATCAGTAAGATAACTAGGCGCGATATTATTTATGATTTTAAAAGTAAGCAATAAGATTTTAAAATCAATGTGATACTTAAATCGATGGTATCTGACAAAATAAAGCAGGTTAAAAGATCTCAAAAAGCAACACACCATGATCTAAAGAAGCGGCTGAGAAACAAAGTCATTGACATCTATGAGTCTGGAAAGGGTTACAATGAACCAGTGTATCAAAATGACTCCAAGAGCACATCAACGACTCATCCAGAAGCTCACAAGACTGGATAACCACATCTAAAGAACTGCAGGCATAAACTAACATTTCACAAAAAGACCATCGTGCCAACAGTCTAGCATGGTGGTGGTAGTGATGGTCTGGGGGTGTTTTGCTTCTTGACTTGGATGACTTGCTGTAGTTGATGAAACTTTGAATCCTGCTCTCTACCAGAAAATCCTGAAGGAGAGTGTCCGCCCATCAGTTCATGCCCTGAAGCTCAAGTTCATTTGGGTGATGCAGCAGGACAGTGAGCCAAAGATGTTTTACCCCCTTAATAACTACTTAGGTTATTTTTGTCTAATGTCAAACCTTTGTGGATGATTTGAAACATGTACGTGTGACAAATATGTGAAAACCTAAAAACCAGGAGGGGGTAAATACTTTTTCAGTGCATTGTACATATTTATGTCCTGGAAGCAAGATATTTTAAAATTCTGATAGTTGAAAACAAAATTAAGATAAGGGATAAAAACTACCTTCATCATCTACAGTTCCTCATCATTTTAATAAACATTACTTACCCTCCAATATAATATCTGTTTGATTATCCACCTGCCTCATACTTGTATTTAATTTCGAAGATCAAGGTGATAAATATGTGCTCGTATCAACTTGTTTTAAAAACCAGCTTTCATTACAGTTCTTTCAATTAAAACAAGCAAAACACAACAGTTTGAACTACACCCTGCATTGTTACATGATCACACTGCCTCAGCATCACTTCTAGTATCATATTTCTGTGATGGGATTTGCAACTCAATAAAGAGCTTGAGGAGTACTCCACACTGACATTACACAGCACTGTGGAGATGTCACTAATTACAGCCTCCAAGGTTCAGGTTCTGCATCATAAAGCTATCAGCACTGACATTGGCAGACTCTCAGGAGAATTTCCAGTTTTCCTTTTGTTACTGAAAGCCTAAAAAATGAAACCCTGTTGTGTTTCCACATGTCTAAACTGCTCATTTGCCTTCTTGCAAATCTAATATCTCAAAAGTGGCAATTAAGCACCAAAAATACAATCTGGAAACACAGAGATTGATGAAACAATCAGACAAAAATGCACCTAAGAAAGTGAATTTTCTACCGTGCAAAACAAAATCCAGTGCATACATGACTGATTGCAGCTGTCAGCGTCTCTGCTCTAGCCTTCCTAGTTTCCTCCAACACAATTACAAATTAAAAAAAAAAAAAATGCTGAGATGGTTTGCACATGTGCAGAGGAGGCATAGTACACATGAGCAAAGGTGCTGAATATGGAGATTTCAAAAAGGAGGAATAAAATAAGACCACAGAGAAGATTGAATTTGGTGAATTTAGTGAAGGAAGACATGCAGGGGGTGGTGTGACACAGGACGATGCTAGAGATAGGATAAGATGGAGGGAGACGATCTTCCCCTAAAGAGAGCAGCCAAAAGAAGAACACATGTATGATTTTAGGTTTCTGCTGCTAACAGCTCTCTAGCACTAAAACTAAAATAATAAAGTGACATTAACACTACATAAGTACAAAATTAAAAGTGATATGCTCTAAATATTATCTCATATTTGTCTCCACAGAGTGAAGATGAAGCTCTATTCATTGTCCATGCTTAGTTTGTCACTTATCTTGCTTAATACCCCTTTTTCGCTGACCAGGGGAAAGGGAGGGAGAGGAAAAAGTTCGGGCAGCAAAAAAGTCTCTTCGGGCACCAATACAGGATACAAACCCAAAAAAGACTCCACCCCTCAGGGTGGCCATCCAAAACAAAACAATCAGGGCAGTCCTGGGCAGCAAGGCAATTATCCCAGACAACCAGGTGCAGCAGGCAACCCTAACCAGTATCCAGGACAAAGTTCTCCGTATGGAGGGAATGGAGGGGGTTATGGAGGCTATGGAGGAGGTTATGGACGGTATGGAGGAGGTTATGGAGGTAATCGTCCTTCTGAGAATTCCAGAGGGTTTGCTCGCAGTGCAGTAGTAGCTGCAGCTGGAGGTGCAGTGGCAGGAACGGCCCTGGGCTATGGGTTAGGACAGTTCCACAATCCTCACTTTACTGTCCGCAGCCCTCAAGAGGAGTATTATTACAAACACTACATGCACAGGAACCATGGGTCTAAAATCCAAACTAATAGAAATACTAACAAAAATACTAATACCAATACCAATACTACTGAATACAGCAGCGATAAAGGAAGAGATGCCGTAATTACTCAACCCGTTCAGAGTTATGAAGACTACATGGATGCCTGTATGAAGAGGTCTGACATTTTGCCGGTGAAAACTCAAAAGCCCCAAATCAAACCAGGTACAACTGCCACAGCTACGACCAAAACCAACACGTCTACTCTCGTGACATCAGAGAGCAACGACACTGCCACAGAAAACCCCTCGACCCCCACCCCTGCAAGTCCAGGCCCTCCAAATCAGCCCGAAGAAGATGACACGGTCAGCATTGTGGAGATCGGCTACCCGGCACTGATCGAGCAGGTGAAAACCAGGAGATGCTTGGAGTTGTACATGGCTTACTCCATGAAGTACATGAGACAGGAAGGGCCGAAAGACGGGAGTACAGGAGGGGTAGAAGGATTGGAGATGGGCTTTCAAAGACTTTTAGCAGTAGTTACAAGTGCTATGCTGATGCTACTTAACAGCAATGTACCTGTGCTGCTGCACTGAGATGTTCATTTGACATTATAGAGAATGTGTTCATGAATAAGATGAAAAGATGAAAAATAACTTGGTGGAAAGGAACCTGTAATCCTTTCTTTATTTTGTGCTGACTTCTGCTGTGAGATTTTATACTTTATGCTTCATATAAAGCAAACATTGACGGCACAGATGGCTGACTTGTGATTACAGGAGAAATTAAAATAAATAGTTACAAAGCCTTTTCCTGTAACTGTAAAACAAAACGAGCTAAAGGGTTGTTTCTTATGGGAGAATGTGAATGTTTTCATGAATCCTAAAGGCTTGCACTTTTTCCTTGTCATGTTAAATAAATGAAATAGCTTTACTAACTTGTACTTGTGGATATTTCATTGCTTCGGAGCTGGCAAATGACAATGTCTCGTAGCATTAGTGTTATGAAAAAAGTAGAGTCAGCATTGGATTATGTATTTATATGTTATTGTATCCAACCAGCACCTCCAAATCTGGGATCATGAGCCCGTCCAGGCCTCCTCCACACCATTATTGTGTTGGGTAATGACATAATTTTCTCTTGGGGAATATGCTACACTAAGCTAGATGTTGCGATGGGTTTTTCTTTCCCATTTAAAGGATCATGTGATCATTCAGCTCCGTATTAGTCTGTAGATTTCCAGACATTCAATGATCCCTAACAAATGTATCAAACTGTGTGATTTGGCCCCCCCTAATGGTCCCGGTCTCTCTGATAGACTTGCTTTGTAAAGAATGGTCTATTTTACTTGTACCTGAGATTTAAATGCCACATTTAAATCTCTTGTCAGACCTTTAACCTGCTTCATTACAGAAATAATTAAGAACTAGCAAACACTTATCAGCTCAAATTAAATATGAACCCCTGAAAATAGGGCATCGTGTATAAAAATGGCTGCAGCTCCATAAAGGTTAATGCAATATTCTTGTTAAGCATTTCAAATTAAAGCTGGCCGTCTGCACGTTGACCTTTTATTGTTTTTATAACTGTAGGTCCAGTGTGTTGGTACACAAAATACCAGACATAACTTAAATAAGTGCACTATTTTGATTTTTACACTTAAATGTTTCAGATAATCAAATCAATTTTTATATTGGACAAAGAAACCTGAGTAAATGCAAAATGCAGTTTGTAAATGATGATTTCTTTTATTAGGAAGAAAACGATCTGAAACCGTGTGAAAAAGTAATTGCCTCTCCTTGTTAGATTATAAATTAACTTTGATTAACCACTTTTTTTTTTGGAAAGCTCAGTTCAGTTTCACTAGCCACACTTAGCCCCGATTATTGCCCTCATAACACAATGCTTCATATCACAATCTAAAGAAACCCAAGAACAAATGAGAAACAAAGTCACTGACGTCAGTCTGAAAAGGATTACAAAGGTTCCTAAGGCTTAATAATAATCTAAAATAATCTAAAATGATGCGGTTAGCATGGAGAATAAATGTCAACACGAAGCTATATCACACATTTATTTTACATTCATAACAGTTTTAAATATTAAAGAACATTCTTTAATAAAAATCTACAAATGATCATAAAACATTTAATTATGCAAATATGTCAACGAAAGCAATACTTAAAAATATAACCTATATACAATATACAGCATAGGCAAAATTATGTAACAATTGTGAGCACAAGAAAATAATTATTATAGTATGTGTTAAATTTGTTTAGATCAGAGGAATAAGGAAGGATTTGTCTGTGTTTCAGTTTGGCTTAGCTGTAGCCTGAGAGTGTGTGCAATTGTTTAGAGGGAAAGGAATTTATTGACACTGAGGGTCTGCTGTCATAAAAGGAGACAGGAAGCTACAGTTGGGGGTTGCTGATGCTTGTACCTTTAATAAAAACTCATAATTGTTATAAACTTAGAAGTAGGCTTGCAGGAGACTCTCCACCTTAAATGTAAATGTAAGACAACAAGAGGCCAATGGCCCAATGGATGCAGAGTGGGGGTCTCAGTGTTTGTAATATGTTAACTCTGTTTTCTATGTTGTGTAGAGGAATTTACACAGAGACACACACAGTGCTTTGACTGTTACGACGCACCCACACCTACATGCACACTCACTCACATGCACTCACATAGACACACGGGTACGCGCACACACAGGCACTCACATGCTCGTGCATACACACACAGACACAGAGTTTGCAGCACACCATGGGGGTTTTATGATGGGGTCACTTCTATAAAGCTGACTGTAACAAACAAAGGAGTGGAAGATCTGCAGAGGGACACCGGCCTTCCACGTCTCGCCTTCTAGAAGATGCATGCTTAACAAGAGGAATAAAGGTTTTTGTGAAAATGACTACTGAGTCCGGTGCCGTCTCTGGATGGCCGAGGAATAAAAAAAAGAACCGGGGTGAAACTGATTTCGCAACACAATGAAAAAAATATTTAAATTTGGTAATTAGAAAATGACATTAACATCTAATCCTGACATTGTTCCTTGAGGTAGACTTAACTTAAAACAGATCTAATTAATTCCTGCTCTATCTTTACAGACTGTAGTCATCACCATATGTATAAAAACAGTGGTCACATTAAAAGAAGTGAAAAATGGGACAGGAGAGCAACATCACATCAAATCAGATTACATTTCGTGACTTTAATAATGATTTTTGACCGCGTGTTTTCATATTCAGCGTAATGGTGTCACATTGATAAGTCAAACTCCTCTTATTGTCCTCACACAGGGTCACTGAAGTGTCCATAAAACAAATTGGCAACAGGTTTTTATTTTTGAAAACTCAAATTTCAGGTGAACTGTGACTTTAAAAATGTCCCCTTTACAGTAGGATGGGTTATTTTTGAAAGGAGGGTTTTTTCTGGTGTGTTTGTAAATCTCAGTTTCGTCTCCAGCGCTACATGAATGCCACCCAGTGGCCCATGAGCAGGGACATTAGGGAGCCAATGACAACAATGATGCTGTTGTAGATTGGGCCACTGGATGCTCCGGTGTAGTACTCTACATCACCAGAGCCCTCTGGCTCATAGCCAGGGCGGGGGCCATAGCCGTAACCACCTCCGTATCGTGGGTATCCATAACCTCCTCCATACCCTCCATATCCACCATATCCACCGTATCCTCCGAATCCTCCGCCATACCCATACCCAGGACGGCTCAAGGCAGAGCCGAGCATGGATCCTCCTATTGCTCCTGCAGCAGCTGCCCCAGCTACTTTCCCGGCACTGGGGCCACTGCTCTGGACAGGCGGTGGTCTGTAGGGCTGACCTCCCCACCCCCGGCTGTAGCCTCCTCCTCCTCGGCTGAACCCACCACCTCCACGTCCACGGCGGGCCTCGGAGCCGGGTAACAGTGTGGCCAGGAGCAGCACACAGAGGGCCACTGTGGAAAGTTTGTGCATTTCCAACGTGATTTTCATCCTGTCAAAATAAGATTATAGAAACTTTATTAGGACTGAATTGGTTAATGAGGTTAATGAACTTCATTAGTAATCACTTTGACATTTTTATAGACTTGCTTTTACGTCTATTACATGTTACATCATCTTTCAGTTGCGTTGTTAATTTTTTTGCTCAGCTTTGTTCTGTCATTGGCATTTAAAAAATTATGTATTCATTTTGCTATTATAAACAGGAAAATCAAATTTTTGTTTCTGCTGTTGCTGTTTTAGATTATACATAGTAAAATAATTACCCAACAAGTACCAACCAAGGATTTCGTTTAAATTATTTAAAGAGAAAATATTTATTTACATTATTACTACTTGAATTACTGGTGAGTACTTAAAGCAATTTATTTTTTTAAACTATACTTTATACATTATATAAAATGGAAAGGTTCTCGAACTCACACAAACACACTGATGAGATGTTCTCAGTGCAGCTTTAGTCCTGCTGTGTGGTATTATTACACTGCTGATGAATTAGGAACAGCACAGATCACTGCTCTTAATCCAGCTTTGAGAAACAAATCTTACACAAGCACTGTGGCGTGAGTGCTGAAGCAGACAAGGGATCAGATCAGACTCATATTTTCTAATGCACCTCAGTTAGGATCCTGTAGATGGGGTCTGTTTCTAAATCTATGGATTAGCTCGTTTTTGTTGGGATGGAATTCATATTTTCTTAATTCTGAAATCTGACTATTTTTGACCTAATCCCAAATTATGGACAGGCTAAGACATAAGATAACCATGTAAAAAGAATTAGAGAAAGATGACACAGGCCATAAAAATAATGTATTAACAAACATCCAGGCTACATTTAAATATGAGGTTTAGGTGTAGGCTATGCACCATAAATACAATATTATTGATATATTATTATAAAATATCCAACATTAAATTATGTAAACTCCAAAAAAACAAAAACCTAGTAAAAACATCTTGCATTAAGTATGTCACTGCTATAATCTGTACTAACAAAATATTAGTGAAGATTGTACTTTATATACAGTGTAGTAGGACAAGTGTATTTTTAAGTACGTGAAGTCTAAGCAGGTCCTGTATCTAGTAATAATCTCAGTAATGAGGTGAACATGAGGACTAACAGAGTTAGTGACTTGTTTGTGCCACTAAAAAGTATCTCAAAATTTTAATAACTCAACTTGAAATATTGAATCATGTTGAAATATTGAGATAAAATTGGGTGGCAATTTCTGTTTTTCTGTGGCAGAAATACGCTTGCGTCAAAACATTTACTCAAATCTGTACACTTTTGATGTATGCATGACTACATTGAGTGGGTTTTCTAATGCTACTTTGCACATGCACTCTGACACATTTTAAAAAGAAATATTGCACTTTTTACTTTTATTCACCAGCTTTATTTTAATTACATCTTCTCTGGATGAGGATTTAAATAGATCATTTTAATAAGTATGTTATAGAGTTTTAAGAAATACTCTCCAGTATTTAAAACGCCTACAGCAGTTTCACCTTGACCAACTGCGTCACTGAAGGATAGCTCACATATTAGAGCATCGATAACACCAATCCACTAATAAGGATCACTATCACTGAATCATAACTACGTCTGTTTTTCAAACTTTAAATCCAATTTAAAGCAAAGTTTAATCCGCTCCACTTAAATTCTCTTTTATCAACCATTCAGTCTATAAATCCAGGTTGGTTTTATATATTATTAAGTATCCATGATTAAAAGAGAACTTAGATTTGACTTTTTATTTATTATAATCCTTGTTTGTACCTTGAGATGCATTCATATTAATTGTAATTAGTACTACCATGTGTTGCTTGAGAATTAGGATTTGACAAATACCACAGTCTTTGTACACTGGATGCAACTTTTATATTACATTACTTTGTATAGTACTACTAATTCTTTTACAAAGAAATGAAATACATGTCCCACCACTGATTATATGACCATGACATCATTGGCTCTGTCAACAGACGGTGTACACTGTCTAATCTGTGTCCTCTTACAAGGTAACTCGAGCTATAATTACACTGGGTCAGTTAGTTTGAGAATAATCCAGTGACTCTCAGATTACAGCTACACTTTCTAGATATAAGCTCTGATCTGTGCAAATATTTTTTTTTAAATATCCCAGAAATAAGAACAAAAGGCTTTAACTCACTGAGCCTCATACAATAAACATCCCACATTTTAGTATAAATTAGTAACATGAAGAAAAAAGAGAAAAAAATAGAAATAAAAAAAGTCTTACCTGTGAAATTAATATTTTTTTTGTGTGGCGGAGATTTGGATGGTATTCCTCTTTGGGAAGCTGAAGCCAAAAGTGATGTTCGCAGCTCAGACTCCTTTTCTTGTCTGTGGGAAAGTATGTTTCAGGGCCAGCCTGTTATCCGTCAGACAATCTCAATCACCTCATTGGCTGACTGTGCAGTAAGCTGCTGGTGCTGCCGACATCACGCATAAATACCTGAGAGCGCGGGCTTAACATTTGCGTTTCTAATTTTATCTGAATTATTTAACTCTCCGAGTAAACAAACCAGAACATTCAGCGAGCTCTCCCGAAGCTTCTGCCACTGCAAACGAATTCAGCATCGTTAGGTAACAGTGACTGCAACAAAAACAGATGAGAACTACAAGTTCATTTTCCCCAGACAAATTTTTTATTAAATAACAAACATTGTACGAAAACTTCCACAAAGTAGTGGCAAGAGTTAACACTTTAAAGGCTAAAATTTCTTCTTTACTTTGTAAAAGACACAATACAAAAGCAGGCAAGTCTTAGGAGTCACTAAAAACACAACATGCATGCTCTCACACAATCTTCGGGGCGTCGTCCACTGCGTGTCAGAAATACTGAACTGTCAGGCGGAAGGAGACAAAGTGCTGTACATGTGGAGGCAAACCGCACTGCTTAGAAATGCTCGTTCGTACGTTTAAAAACATTCTCCGTAAAATTCACAGTCTTGTGGGATTATCGTTTTGTGCTTCTTGTCTCTGCTGGATGTAGATGTCAAAAAAACAAAAAAAAAAAAAAAACCTAAACCAAAATGAAAACAAAACATGAAGATTTTGTGCAATCTGGTTAATGTCAGGCAAACCTTTAGCGTAAGACATTAATGTGTGTAGGAACAAAACAAGTAGCTCAAAAAAAGTTGCATTATTCCGAGGAATAGTCTGTTATTTTGGGGAACTTCTGGATCTAACTTCATGCTGAGAGTTTGGCTTCAATGTCACCAGATCTCATTTAAAACTCTGTAAGCAGGACAAAGACCGGTGCCACCAAACATAAACACAGCAGTTGAAGTTTTGGGGGCTTGATATGCAGGAATCACTTCTCCATACTCTTTCACTTGGGCTTTTTATGCCCAAATTTAAATTTAATGAAATATGTAAGGTTAATTTTTGTCACCGTCAGACCACTCCACATTTACAGGATGGTTGTTCCCTGTGATTCTCAGTCTTACATGCTGCCTACATGTAAAATGCCAAATACTGTGTGTAACTGCATTATCACAGTCACAGCCTGCAGTGGCAATAAAAAGATTTCACATCAATGAAATGAAAAAGGTCCTAAATGTTTACATCAGCTTCAAAGTATCCCACCAACTTTGTGTGTTTTGTGCTTGGAGAAACCTATATAGTCACTATAAGATGACATTTGTGCTTTAAAACAATTTTGAATATTTCCTGCAGAGAAGGCAGAAGACAGGTTACATTTTAGCCTCATCTTGCAGGCTAACAGACTAAAAAAAGGTTAAAAAAACACAAACAGGAGACGTTTGTCCGAGTGCTCTGTTCATGGTAAAGAAAAAAAAAAAAGTGTGTGTGTTGCCATGACTCTCAGTATCACAGAGATGGTCACACTCAACACGTGCACGAAAGAGCAAACTGTGGGCTGACTGATTGTGGGATGTGCTGAGGGAGGACAGTTGGTGAAACATGTACTTGTTGCTCTTGTCAGCTGATTCTTGGTCATTCTCTTGGTCACGGCTTGGCAGCTGTGGTGACAGTTTGGTGTGGGGGGCCCTACCATGAGCAGATCACATACACTTTGCCCCCTCTGGAAGACACTGGAGCTGCTTCTCGATTATATTCCGAATATAGTTATACCTGCAAATATGAAGGCAGAGGAAGACCAAATCTGAGGATTTTTTTAAGAGCCAATAAAAACACGTGCACGTCCACATTAGACTGGGGGCAGGTGGTGGGCTAAAAATAGTTTAAAAATAGCTTGTAGGCCTCCACTTTTCATATTTATTGCAGCTCATAAAAGTTAAAGATGTTAAGATTATGTTTACTGAATGCCAGGACAGATTAAAAATGTATTTCTTATACCTTCTCCTGAGTTTCTGCACCTCTCTGTCCTCCTCTTCCTTTAACTTGGTGATGAAACTCTGGAGGACAGGCATCTCAAACTTGATATACTGCGCCACCTTGTGGAAGCAAAGAGAATTTTAAGGAAAAAGTAACTGTAAAATAATTAATACATGTTCATTTATAGCTATGAAAAAAGAAAATGGGGATTTACATCATATGTGACTTCTTCTCCGAGATCTTCTTCCATGAGGAATATTTTGCAGACTTGCTCACACGGTCCCTGCATGATTCTCAGCAACATAGGATAGTCAGTCCGCTTCAGTTTCACTCGCTCTGAAACACCAGAACATACATGGAGTGATGGATTAATAACAATAATACATTTTATACACAATGTCCTCAATGTCCGCCTTTGAGCTACATGACACATATCCATATTTGTAATCCACATAGCCAATAGTTCATGAATAATTTAGCACTGACATTCAGACTTTACAGCTGGGTCTGATGCAGAACTTAATCAAAAACAAACAGCAAGAGCACTCAGTTGTGTGTGGGGTAGTTTGCCATTTGTTACCGCAACATAATCTACAATCTCATCAAACATCTTCATCATCATTTTGAAAGCATCATTACTTTTCAGTTACACTTCTGCTAATTGCTGTTTGATTACTGACTGCAATGTGTTTCTTTCAGCTCAGAAAACCCAGTGAGTGAACAGAAATGGAATAATGACAACACCGATTCTGTGTTGAGTTTCCAAATATCATAGCCTCTAAAAAAAAATAAAAATAAATTATAAGCTTTATAGAGATTCAAAAGGTTGATCCTGTTCATCTTGACGTAGCATTTTCAGCTACGAAGCTTTATAGAGAAGCTCTGTGTTGTAGCTTTAGTTCAGATTTGATTGCACCACCAGCAATAATGCAAAAACTTCCAACTTTAAAAGTAATAAAACTAAAAGTCTAAAAGTAGATGATAAAATCAGATAAAATAAAATTAGTGGACTGCGGCTAAAGTCTTAACTCACCTCCACTAGCATGGACCAGATAGAGTGCAAAATCATCTGGGCTGTTTTCGATTTTGAACTTGTTAAGGAGAACTCGTAGCACCTGCGGCGTGGTCATACAGCTGTTGATGCGAACGTTAGTCACCGACCCGTAAGCAGGCGTAAACACTGCTGTCTGAGGATGAAATGGAAAAACATTTTAAATATTAATATTTTAAATATTAATTTAGGTTCAGTTAAAATTGTTGAAGCTAAAACTTTTACTCTTTTCACTTTTAAACACATTTTCTCAAGAAAAATGTAACTAAAACCTGTTCCCAAATCATTTGCTTTAAAGCGTCACATAAATGAACTAACCTAATGAATTTTATTTGATTATTCTGTCAATTTTTAAAAGTTTTACTTTATGGTTGTAGAAGTGTCCGTTGATGGAGAATCGATGGCGTCGGATTTTCCTCTGGTCACTTGGCGACCTTCGCTGGCCTCTCCTTAAGACCCCGGCATCGCTCTTTGTCCTGAGGAGCTGAGCGGAGCTCTCACTGTCCTCTGTCAAATCAAATGTTGAACCACCTTAAATTACTGATTATTATTCAGTGTAGCCCTAAGCTAAGATCACAAAATAGTGAAAGAAAACCATAGTTTTAGAAATAAACATCACTTACACAGAACTGTAAACAAATTTTATCTTTCGCTTTAATGTGCAAATTTTATTTTTAATTAAAAATGTGTTTATAGCTAATTTCATTTCATCTTAATGCGATCCAACTTTTTTTCGCCAAGATTCAGCCAGTTTAAAAACAAAATATTCTTAGTAAATGACTGATGTTTGAGGCTGCTTATTCGATCCTCATTATAGCCATCAGAGTAATGTACAGTTCAAATGAGTAAAACCAAAAGAACAGGTAGCAAAAAACTGAGAAACAGCTCAAAAAAATCTATAAATACTGAAAGAAGTGTGAGCAAACACGTTCAAAATAAGATAAATCTATCTTTCCATCCATCCGCTTATCCTTTTCAGAGTCACAGGGGGTGCAGGAGCATATCCCAGCTGTCATAGGGCAAGAGGCGGGGTACGCCCTGGACAGGTCGCCAGTCTGTCGCAGAGCTAATACACAGAGACAGACAACCATTCGCGCTTACATTCACTCCCGCATTCACACCTATGGGCAATTTAGACTAATTTACACCTTTGGGTTAATATTTTACTCTTACTTTATTGGTTATTTATAACCATGTAGATACAGCTTGAAATATTTAAAATCTAAATGACTGAAGTCTTAAAATATAAATGTATAAACGAAAGTCCAAAATTTACCTTCTGCCTCCTCTTCAGTCACACCGTTGTCCTCTGGTTGGCTGTCAGGTGGCGTCACTTCCACTGTGGGTGAGCTCTGCTGAGCCTGTTGACCATCTGTGGTGGTGGGAGAACTTCAAACAGGGAACAGGAGAGAGTACATTTATGGGGTGAAGGAGAAGAACTGCAAACTGTCAAAACTGTAAACATACAGCTAAAAATATTTTTTCAGATAAAAACTGCACCTTCAAATGATAACTCCCATCATGTATTTATGACCATAAGCTGTAGTTTCTCAAAAAACTATTATCCTGATATTGATTTTAGTGTGGACTAACAGCCACTAGAATCTTGTAAAGCCATTAAGTTTAAGAGCAGTCCAGGTCTGCACAGCTGAACTAAAACTCCCTCCACACCATGTATGAATCTAGAGGGAGATCTCGATCAGTTTGTGAGATTTTCTTGAGAACACCAGTTTTTCTTTTTTCACTTTGATATGTGTTTGTGATGCCATCAACATGCTGGTCTGTCCTGACTGTAGTGGTGAGTCTTATTATTAGGTTTCCTGTAGTAGCTGCCATTTTTAACCTGCTGTTTAACATACGTCATATCTGGGTTGGTTAGTTTCAACTTGTGACTGCTGTTCCTCTTTGCCAGTGCAGCTGTTCTTTTAGTTAGGAGTTGTGACAATGTTTCCTGTCATAATCAAGCAAATTTCTGAAGAATCTCACAGCAATTTGGCTACTTATGAGGGTTTTTTGTTGTTGTTTTCATGTTAAATTCCAAATGGCAGCTCTATGCCTGTGAGGCCTGCTATCCTCGGAGCAAGAATAGCTTCTTTTGATAAATGGGAGCGCTGAAAATGGCACTAAGAGCCTATTGACATGGACTGATTTGCAATAGCTTGGAGTAAGATCCTCAATTAAACCAGAAGTGTGGCTTAAAAGATTCACTTTTGCTTATGGAAAGCTGCCAATTTGTATCTTATTTAGGAAATAAACTCTATTTACATGGACTTAAATCTCAAACCCTAATTACACACTTTTAAACATTAAATACCTGCTTGTCTTTCATTGGACAAACTAGATAAAATCTATATCTGCCCTCACTGACCTCTCTGTATCACCATTTCTGGTCACTGGGGTGTAACTGGATCTGTCTGGAGCTCTTACCCTTGACTGTCCAGATTGCAACCCGAGTGCCAAGACGTGGAGGAAGGGGGCGGCCGGATTCGCTCGTGGTCATCCTGCATCTGTAGCCTGATTGGGCGCCGGAGGCCCCAAAAGATATTCAGCAAGCCCTCAACAATCAGTTCCTCTTCTTCCTGTTGGAAGACACGAATACTGATGAATACACACAAACACACATATACAGTAAATACACACAGACTGGACAGTTCTTACTCTTTAGGGATATAGGGTGAAATGGGTGGGGTATATTATATTAAATATATTAAGAGCAAAAGTGAAAGCAGGGATGAAGCCTCGACACATTCAGGTTCTTCTGTTGAAATTTAAAACAATAAAATAAGATTAAACACATTCACTCACTCACTCTGCACTCACACTGTATGTGAGTACATACACACACACAAACAGAGAGATGCAATTACTCACCTCTCTGTGCCGCAGCTGCAGATTCTGCCCTTCATAATAGAGGTTGTAAGTTTTAAGATGTGACAGTACTGTTGACCTGAAGACAGAAGTAGTTAAATCACTGGAAGGAAACAAAGTTTTAAGGAGATTCCCACTGATTTACCACCTCGTAGTGCCTGCAGCTGTAATTCTGCATGCACCGTGCACTTTTAACACTAGATCAAATTTTGGGGATCTTTATTCATCCCAAAAATGCATAACATCATCACTAATGGAGTGACGCAAATATATCTGAAAACCAGTTGGTGCTAACATCAGTGGATACAGGTCACTGCACTGACAATATTTCTGGCACTTAATCACCACTTTGGTAATTTTGGATTTCACTTAGTTTCTGTGGTGGTGAGTTGAAGGCAGCTGAGAGATGAGCAAACAAAAAGAAAACTATTCTACAAAGTCTCATTCTATGAGGTTGTAATATAGCCATGTAGTAATATATCACCTCCTGTGTAATGCTGGTGCGGCCCTTTGGGAAAATGAACATCCAACTCCTGATTTATGAACTCTGTGAGTAATGTTTAGTGACTATTTGTGTTGTCTTTTGGTATAATTTCCTGAATTTTGGGGGAAAATAAAGTATTCCTTACTATGCTGTTAATGTCAGTAAGACCGAAAATAAAAAGAACTAATAAAAAAAAAAAACTTCATATATGTTTAGAGAAAGATAGGGCAGTCTCTGCTGCTGGATTAGTGTTATTGTGTACTTTATGCAGGGGCAGACTGAAATGTTAATTCCAACCCTGTTTAACCCTGAGATTCACAAACTGCCCAATCTCAAATCTGACAAAATTGTCTGACCCACCCAAACCTTAAATTACAATGTTGCCGTTTCCACTGATTTTTCATCTTCTCACAGTTTTCTCCTAGAGGTTTATTCTCCATTAGCATTACTTGATAGCCACTACTACATTTAAGTTCTTTCCCACCAGATAAGAACCAGATGAGATCAGGATTAAAAGTAAGTCACAGAATTGAGATTAATGTGTAATTTTCAGATCCCGTCCTTTCTTTCATTAGCTCTCATTTCTTTTTTTAATGTACAGACAGAGGAAGAAGAAAAGTGGGTGTAGCAGTTTCTTGGTGTAGTAAGATAAGAAGCATGTCTAAAGAGAAGCATTTAATGTCTGTTCTTGGTAAGGCTGAGATTCAGTTTCAATTGATGTTTTCTCATCAGCTTAATAAAGCCACCATTAAAAACTTTGGAAAAGACATTTATCTTTGGCTGTGTGAATAAAATGTTGATTTGGCTTTCTGTTGAGAGGTTTGGGGTTTCAGTAGATGCAAGTGTGTGATTTCCTGTCTCTGTGTTAACCCTGTGAGTGACTGGTAACATGATCTGTGTACTGCTGTTTATTATTCAGTCATCTTGGCAGGATATCGTGTCTTGTATGCTTATAGAAGTCAAATGTAATTTGACAATTAACTGACAAGCAGTTTCAGGACCAGGTGAAGTCCTGTTCCCTTAATATTTCAATGTCTCTATACTGAAAACCTAAATAGGAGTCTCACAATACAAGTGAATGTATATGCAGGTAGGCGGAGTAACTGTAACTTTATGTTGTGGAGAAAAATAATTGTTAATAGTTTTCAGTGTGCATTATTTATCATTTTTATTAACTGATTGGTCAGACTTCAAAAGCCAAAGATCACACAGTTTGTTAGGTATTAGGGATACTTGTTGTCATAAATAAAGACCTAGATTTCAGATAATGAACACTGCAAACAGTTAACAGGCTGAAACCTTTAAAACCACAAACATCCCTATTTCACATCATCTTTTTTAAATTAATGGTTTTTTTTTTTAAACATACCAAAGATGAATAAAGGCTACTCATTTGTTTCCCTGTTGTCACTTACTGTGAATTTATAATCTGTATAAACATACTTATGTTTATATGAGAAACAGTGCGGGATGGAAGACTTACTTGCTGACGAACTTGTTCTCTCCGATCTGAACCCCGTACTGTGTATCATCCATTCTCAGTGAGCATGAGAGGAGCTGAGACACAAAGAAGGCACACAGAGTTAATGTCTCATGACTCCTCATGACCAGCAGCGAGCACAGAACAGAAGTGACAGAGTGACTGCAGGAAGAGGAGGAGGCAGAGCTGCAGACCGTAAACAATAACAAGAAGATGATATCTGCTTTCCTGGCAACTACTTCCCTTAAGATAGTTAAACCTCCACCACTGTGTCCCTGTACTAAATCAAAACATATACTATGCGAATGAAGGGAGCAGCTGCTCTCCTCATTCTCTTCTTCGTCTTACAATGTATTTTCTCTTTCCTGTGAGCTCTTTCACATAAACAAACGCTGCACATTTGCACATGCAGCTGTTTTAAATGGCACTCTGCCACCACCCTGCAGAGTTTTCCTTCCCTCTTCGCTGAGTGACAGAGTGTTTCTGTGTGAGTTTGGCAGGATAGAAACCTCCGGATGAAGGACAGGTGCAGGACACATGGACCACCTGCTGCTGCAAATTATTTCAGCTGCCTAAACATTCATCTCTGAGCATGCTACTAGCAAAACACATTATGTGCCTTCATCTGCCATATAGCACGCTTTTCTTTTCTTTTTGTTTTTCCTCAGAACATGAAGACCAAAAGTTAAAGATGCAACTGTTGCAGGGTTTTTCCTCAAAATAGGCCTTTGGAGTCAGAGGCACTTACCAAGATTAGTTTGCATGTAGATGAAGCAATGAATCGCCTTACTTAACACGAAATTGAGCATTTTGCTACCGTTTTAGCAATTTCATGAGCAAAAATACATTTTATGGTTGAGTAAATGTAACCCCACCTAACTCTTTGAGGTCTAAAATCAGTGATGACCTCTGGCCTAGCCCACAAAAGTTATTCCCCAAAATGAAAGTTCATGATAGTTACTTAACAAGCCCATGCTATAAGAAACATCTTTTTTTAAGTAATTAAAATAAGAATTCTTGGTTCTCTAACCAAACCCTGTGTTTTTGAGACAAGCAGAAAGGATATTTTGGAACAACTTTCAGTGAAGAATGATAGTTTTTTTAACCCTTGACCTTAATAATAATAACAAAAAATACATAATATGATTGCACAGGGTCATCAATGATGCTGACATAGACCTTAAAAACACATTTTCTTCTGGGGATTTTCCTCTGCTTTGTCATGCAATGTGCGTGATTTTTTTCTAGAGTGACATATTTCAATAAGTCACAACTGAACTGAAACAACATTTACTGCAGGTCTCAGCTTAGCCTCTGAAGAAAATGAATCCTATTGGTTTAAATGATCGCCTGTTTAAGGCAGATTGCAAAAAAAAATTAAATTAAATTTAAAAAAATGGTTAGACATTCATGATGACCTGACAATACAGCTTCAATATCTGTGTGACTTTACACTTAGATCTATCATCAGGTCACAATTTATTCTTCACTCTTCAAGACACCTACACTGTGTTAGATTTAAGTAACATTTAAGTCCACACTATGCAACAGTGATGACCTACGAAATTACAGCTATACCTACAGCTGCTATTCCTCTGCTGTTTGTTTTGCATCCCTTGCTGTCTCTTGTTTTTCTACCCGTAAGATGATCAGGTCACTTTTGTGGCAGTCCCCAGAGACTCCTTGACAGTAGTCCTTGTTCTACTGCGGAGTGCCTTGGCGAGCTGGAGGCAGAGAGATGGTTCAAGTGGGTGAGCTAACTGAGACTACGAAGACAAGGACTACCAGCTACAATACAAGACGGTGGAGTTTGAATCCTTCCACTGGGTAAGCAATTCACTGGACACAGCTTATTACTGCTCCACTGTTATTTGCAACAAACTCTAAATTTGTATGATTCATGTATATTTAAAAAAAACGTGTGTCTAGCCTCCTTTCATATTCCTTTTAGAGCAACTGTGAGTGACCTGAGGTAGTCTGCAGGCTGATTCCAGCCCCAGGTGTGTACTTTACCCATACCTGCCGTAGACTTTTTTGTTTTGTGTTAACATTGAAGTAGTATTACTGCTAATTAGTTACAGTTAACCCCTGTTTACAGCATACTCCCCACAGTAGCGTTAAATACACTTGATTTACTGTAAACAGGCCGAAACACCCAAAACCATTTTGGACATTAGTTGAAAGGCCTCGGTTTAAACTACCTTCCTGTTACATAGCCAGTGCCTCTGTAACATAACAGCCAACAAAATATGAAATATTAAGAATAGATATATATATATATATATATAAATGTATAAGACAACAATGGATCTTACCGTCGTAAAGACTATGAGTTGTTGTTGAGTCACCAGAGAAGAAACTGCCTATGAGGAGAGGCAGCCAAAGTTATAGGCAGGTAGATTCTGTTTGTATCCTCAGGTGTCAGTGATCCAAGAGGGTCTTTTCTTCTGAACGTGACTGCGAACAGACAGGGAAGAGTGGGGACGTTAAAAGGAAGTGCTCCCCTTCCGTTAAATCACTTCCTCCTTTACTCAATCAGCCACACAGGAAGCCGACACAGGGCCTGACACAGCTTAAAACTTCCTCAATTCAAGCAGCACAAATGAATAATCCGCTTACACACACGTGGACGAGCCTCACCCTGTTATCAATCTTTAAACTCTTGGATCAGGCACATACTTCCACAGTTTAGTGTAAACAGAAGCAGCTTGAACACGCAGCGCTGATAAAATAAGATGGGGCTGTCAATCTCTGAAATAAAAAGCCTCAGTTAATGTGGGCAAATTAAATATTTAACGCCAATCAGCTCAGCCCAACGCCAGGGGCTATCAATATTTCATCACCTATATTAGCCCTGTCAAGAGCTCAAAAGCTAAGCACTGACCTACACAATGGAAGACATTAGCCTTTATTATCACGGTCAAAGGCAGCGGTCTGCGACGGACATGTGGCCAGCTGACAACACAAAAACAATGCCATAATTGTCTGAGATCAACGTGAACTTTATGCCAACTAAACTGGAATCTGATAACAAAATTGATCCTTCTTTCATGAGACTTCAAGCTCCAGAGAAAAAGATTGACTCAGACATGTCACTTTTAACGCTGCTGAGAGGGCAACATTAAAAATGTGAGCCATACTCACTGCTCATTCATGGTGAGACACCCATTTTGTTCTTTTCACTGTTATTTTAGAGCAGTGTCAATCATCTAATATGAGTTAACATATTATTTAATTCAGGGGTTGTAAATGAAAAACTAGATGAATACAAATGATCTTCTTTTGGCTGCTCTCTTTAGTGGTTGCCAAAGTGGATCAGATGCTTCCATCTCACCTTGCCTCTAGCATCCTCCTGTATCACACCTGCCCCTCTACATGTCCTCTTTCACTGCATCCATCTTCTCTGTGGTCTTTTCCTTCTGCCTGGCAGGCTCCATATTCACCTTCCTTTGTTCAGTGTATTCGCTGTCCCTCCTCTGCATGTCCAATCCATCTCAGCCTTACCTCTCCAACTTTGTCTCGACCTAAGCTGTCCTTCTGAAGTATCCATTTATAATGAATACATTATTAGAAATTAATACAGCATTGGTCAGTCATTGGGAGTGAGAGCATCTTCAACTCTTTTCAGGGTCACTCTCTACAAACTAATCATAGTACATCTCACTACCATCTTATAAACCCTCCCTTTCACTCTAATCACTCATCTCTACCCACTGTACCCTGGCTACACTCTCTTCTTCACCTTGGTACTGTCTGTCGCTTTAGATAATTGACCCCACTTCTACTATGAACAACACTTATTCTTTAGACATTTTATTTTTAGTTTACCTGGCACCTTACTCTTTTCATTTTGCTGAATTATGATAGCGATGGCTAAACTGATGCAAAAAC